TTTTTATGTTGAAATGCTTGCAAACACACGGTGTTCGGTAGGATTATGACATGAACGCGCGCGTGTGCTCTCTGTGGTATTTTTTGCAATGGATTATCGCCGTGGACGACAGGACGTCCATGTCGAGAGGAAAAAATAAGAAAAATGTTGATTTTGTATTGTTTTTTACAGGTTAGGATGGGACCACCCGGATGCGCCCGCTATCTGCCGGCCTGAGGGGGGAGTAGGAGTATATTCTAATAAGGAATAAGGATAGTAGTAGTAGTAGTAGTAGTAGTAGTAGTAGTAGTAGTAGTAGTAGTAGTAGTAGTAGTAGTAGTAGTGTAGTAGTAGTAGTAGTAGTAGTAGGAGTAGTAGTAGTAGTAGTAGTAGTAGTAGTAGTAGTAATAGTAGTAGTAGTAGTAGTAGTAGTGTTAGTCGGAGTAGTAGTAGCCGTAGCAGTAGCAGTATCAGTTTTTGTAGCAGTAGCTGCAGCAGCAGCAGTTCAGTAGTAGCCGTAGCAGTAGCAGTAGCAGTAGTAGTTGGACCGTCTTCGGAGCCTACTGAGCCGTCTCGAGGCAGTCTTAGATCGTCCTGGGCCGTCTTGGGGCCAAATTCGGCCTCTTGGACAGTTTCTGGAGACACCTTGGGACTGGCTTGAAGGCTATCCTAGGCCATCGCAGCAAACCCGGAGGCGTTTTTTTTTTTTTTTTTTTTTTTTTTTTTTTTTTTTTTTTTTTTTTTTTTTTTTTTTTTTTTTTTTTTTTTTTTTTTTTTTTTTTTTTTTTTTTTTTTTTTTTTTTTTTCCTATATATATATTTTATATATATATATAATATATATATATATATATATATATATATATATATATATATAATATACTTTGCGATCGCAGTGCCTTTCGGGTTCGCACAGGTGGCCAGTGGGATCCGCCTAGCTCTCATTGGGATTTTTCCCCATATCCAAAGTGGGGTTCTTGTTTTCTCTGGACACCCCGCGCAGGAACAGGAACACACACACACCCACTCACATTCACACGCACTCTCTCATCATCAACCTCATCAACATCATCGATGATGCTCTCTCACATGCTTAGTCACTCACATACTCATCATCATCATCACTCGCACTCTCTCACACGCCCACGAACATCATCATCATCATCACCATCGGCATCGGCATCATCCTCATTCAAACATCATCATCGCCACCACCACTCACAATCAATCATCATCCTCTTCACCACTCATCTTCACCACCACTCATCATCCTCATCCTCATCATCGTTGAGTAAATTGTGAGGAAGTCTCAGGCGGGAGCCCCCTCCCTATGGGGCCCGCAGATCATGTTGGTAATCCGAGCGGGTCATCGGAACCCTGTAACTGTCGTCACTTTTGGGCTCCCCAGGCCTGAAAATGGAGGAAGTCTCAGGCGGGAGCCTCGTCTGTGAGTGAATTGGGAGGAAGTCTCAGGCGGGAGCTCCCTCCCTATGGGGCCCGCAGATCATGTTGGTAATCCGAGCGGGTCGGGAACCCTGTAACTGTCGTCACTTTTGGGCTCCTCAAGCCTGAATTGGAGGAAGTCTCAGGCGGGAGCCTCGTCTGTGAGTGAATTGGAGGAAGTCTCAGGCGGGAGCTCCCTCCCTATGGGGCCCGCAGATCATGTTGGTAATCCGAGCGGGTCATCGGAACCCTGTAACTGTCGTCACTTTTGGGCTCGTCAAGCCTGAATTTGGAGGAAGTCTCAGGCGGGAGCCTCGTCTCTGAGTGAATTGTGAGGAAGTCTCAGGCGGGAGCCCCCTCCCTATGGGGCCCGCAGATCATGTTGGTAATCCGAGCGGGTCATCGGAACCCTGTAACTGTCGTCACTTTTGGGCTCCTCAAGCCTGAAAATGGAGGAAGTCTCAGGCGGGAGCCTCGTCTGTGAGTGAATTGGGAGGAAGTCTCAGGCGGGAGCTCCCTCCCTATGGGGCCCGCAGATCATGTTGGTAATCCGAGCGGGTCATCGGAACCCTGTAACTGTCGTCACTTTTGGGCTCCTCAAGCCTGAATTTGGAGGAAGTCTCAGGCGGGAGCCTCGTCTGTGAGTGAATTCTGAGGAAGGCTCAGGCGGGAGCCCCCTCCCTATGGGGCCCGCAGATCATGTTGGTAATCCGAGCGGGTCATCGGAACCCTGTAACTGTCGTCACTTTTGGGCTCGTCAAGCCTGAATTTGGAGGAAGTCTCAGGCGGGAACCTCGTCTCTGAGTGAATTGTGAGGAAGTCTCAGGCGGGAGCCCCCTCCCTATGGGGCCCGCAGATCATGTTGGTAATCCGAGCGGGTCATCGGAACCCTGTAACTGTCGTCACTTTTGGGCTCCTCAAGCCTGAATATGGAGGAAGTCTCAGGCGGGAGCCTCGTCTGTGAGTGAACTGCGAGGAAGTCTCAGGCGGGAGCTCCCCCCCTATGGGGCCCGCAGATCATGTTGGTAATCCGAGCGGGTCATCCAAAACCTGTAACTGTCGTCAATTTTGGGTTCTCGCGCTGCCAAAACGCAGCTCCCAGGCTACATTTTGGACGCAACAAGGAGGAGATAAGCATGGTGGCAGCCGCGCTGTACAACGCGCTGGACCTTCGCGCCTGCCACGGACGCAGTGACACGCACGACGTGCAGGAGTCGAACTACCAGCGGCCACACCACCACTTCGGGCGCGTGCCCATCGTGTTGCACCTCGGCGATTTCCTGCAGCTGAAGCCCACCGGCAGCATTGGCCTCCTGACGGACGTGAGCGAGCGCCTGGACGACGACGAGTCGTACAGGTACGCGGACCCGCCGACGGTGGATATCCAGCACGCCATCAAGGTCTTCTCTCAGATCCCCTGCGTCTTCGAGCTGAAGGGCACGAAGCGCTTCGATCCCGGGGACCCTCTGATCACGTTCCTGGGCTGCGCGCGCGAGGGCAAGCCCTTCCCACCTGAGGTCTGGTCCGCCTAGGAGAAGACGTTGGCCACGGACAACCAGGGCGTCCTGGACCCTCGGCACCAGCACGAGAACTTTCGGCTCGGCTACGGCATGGGCATATACTGGGAGACGCTGGCGAGGTGGATCAACACGCGCGCTCGTCGCGACGCTCGGCGTCTGGGCGTGCCCCTTGTTTTCCTGCAGGCCGTTGACGAGTGCGGCGCGATTCAGGGCGAGCCCGACGCGGGTCGGCGCCTCCTGAACGTCCCGAACATGCACAAGACGGGGGACATCCACGGCGTTTTGCCGGCCCACGTCGGCATGGAGGTGCGGTTCACGGCAGCGCAGGAGGAGCTGAAGAAGAAGTTGGGGCTCGTGCAGGAGCAGCGGGCCACCATCGTGTCCTTCGAGTTCCACCACGAGGACGAGCAGCGCTACGAGGAGTGCTCGGCAGGCCAGCTCTTTCGCCCCCGCTTCCCACCGCAGGGAATCTGGCTGCAGGTGCACGGCTTCAAGGAGTCTCCGATCTACCAGGAGGTCGCCGAGGTGCTGCGACAGGGCGCCGAAGGCGCCGACGACGACGGCCAGGCCGAGGCGCGGGCGCGGAGCTTGCTGATGTTCAGGCCTAGCGAAAGGGAGTTCACATGGCAGAGCTCGGGGGCGCGCAGCGTGCGCCGCTCGGGGTTCACCCTGACGCGCGCGCCCTACCTGACCTCCACGCTGTCGCAGGGCCAGACGCTGCGCAAGGGCGTCACCATCGACTGCGCGAGAGACGAGGACGCTGGCCGCACGGGCATGTCGGACGAGCAGTGGTGGCTGCACCTCTACGTCATGTTCTCCCGCGCCACGTGCATGCGGAACATGCTGATCCTGCGGCCGCCGCCGCGAGAGTTCCTGGAGTGCGGGCCGCCGGCGTCCCTGCGGAAGGCGCTCCTGGAGTTCGACAAGAGAGCGGTTTTGTCCAGGGCGGAGGCGAAGCAGCTCGCGGCAGAGCTGGGCTTCGTGCTGCCTTCCGCCTGAGCGCGGCTGCGCCTCGCTCGAAGCCCGCGGGGTTGTCCCAACGGCTTGGTCTTGCGCGCCAACGGCTCGCTGGGTTGTCCCGACAGCCTGGCCCGCGGGGTTGTCCCAACGGCTGCGCGACGTGACCAGTAGAGAACGCGCCTGTGCTGGCCGTGGCGGCGACGGCGCCGAGGAACATCGACATGCGCGCTCATGCAACAGGAAGGGGAGGAGGTGGCGGGGCGCGGAACAAACAGGGGGGCGAGGATGGGGACAACGTAAGGAGTGGAAGGGGGGCCCGCGCCAAGGCGAGAGGAAATATACGCAGAAGAGACAGCCAGGACGCCTCACCAACCACGAGGACGACGGTGATGGTTTTTTCCAGATTCGCCCAGAGGATTCTTATGTGGGGTTCTTCCGTCGGAGTAATTGTTGGAAGGGCCTAACAGGATCAGATAGCATTCAGCACGCGGTGCGCCCCTTTGCGCGCAGAATGGCTTGGCGGATGTGGTGGCCTTCGGCCCAAACCGCCACCATGCCAGGGTTGTGGGCCAGAGGCCTCTTAGATCGTATCTTGGGATGGCTCGTGGATGCCTCTCGGAGGCCTGCTTGGGGCCTTTGGGGTCTCGTGGAAGCTTCTTGGCTTGGGGGCCTCTTGGTGCCTTCGGGGGCCTGCTGGAGGTTTCTGAGGCCATCTTGGGGCAGAGGGCTCGAACTGTCAGGTTACCCTCTTTGGCTGCTCTTGGGTCCGTCTTGGGGGCTTGGACGCAGTCCTTGGCGATACTGAAGGCTTGTTGGGCCGTGCCGGGCCCTCGTAAGACCGCAAAGGTGAGAAAGCCAAAATCATTGAAACACCTTGCCTAGTGGAGCGGTTCCCAGAGCCTCCAGGACGGCCCAAGAGGGCTTCAAGGCGGGCCTTTGACCACCTTGGGCCATGCTGGAAGTATGGAATCCCAACCACGTTCCCGAGGCCTTTGATCAAGCCGCACGAGAAGACTCAGTAACGCCCGAGAGCGCCCTGAAATGTTAACACCGGTCCCCGTAAAGAGACTCGAAGGTGTCTGATGGCACTCCTTCTCAGTGCCCGCGGCACGGTGGCGGATTTCTGCCAATTTCGTCGGCCTCTTCAGCACGGTGGGCCACCAGCGGAAGGACTTCTTTTTCAAGAGCTACGCCGACGCCGTCGCGCAGGCCGTGCTCTATTCCATGTTCGTCGCGTACCCCAAGTCGCGGGTCAATTTCACGGACGCCTTCCGCAAAGAGCTCGTCAGCCGCATCTCGTACTGGACGACGGGCATCTGCCCGGAGTTCGTGGACACCTCCCACTGGAAGCTCAACCTGGGCGGCGGAGACGTGCTGCAGTCTGCGCCCGCGCAGGCCTTCCAGAAGCCGGCGGACGCCACGGGCGGCCGCAGCCTCGCCTCCGCGGGCGCCGCGGGACAGCCCATGTTCGGGATGCTGAGCGCGGACTCCCTCAAGGGCACGCGCGCCTCGCTGGCGCACCGCGCCCCGCGGCCGACCAAGACGCTCCGCTACTCGCCGCTGGTGGCGCACTTCCTGCGCGCGCGGAGGTACACCTCGGTCAACCTGGTGCAGTCGGTCAAGATGCGCCTGACCACCGCCGAGGAGCGCGTCAAGCTGGTGGACGCCAAGCACGCGAACATGGTGGAGCGGGCGAACCAATCGTGCGAGACGTGCGACAGGCTCGCCGTGGAGTATGAGGAGATGATGCAGAAGGTGAAGAGGGAGGAGCGCCTGCGGAACCTGCAGGCCCAGACGGCCAAGCGGCGGCTGGAAGTGCGGCGGAAGGAGGTTCGAGTCGGATGAAAAAAGGGGGCGTCCCAGACCCCGGACGTCGTGATGTTTTCACAGCGTGGACCCCCAGAGGTCTGGACCCCTTCCCCAGGACCAGTGTTTCATCCTGAGTCGTTCTTTGACGGTCTCGAAGCCTGGTGAGGGCCCCCGGAGGCTGAAAATAGGCCAAAACTTCCCATCGTGATTTGTTTCGCAGCGCGAGAGGGTTTGGGGTTGGGAAAAGGGGGGATCACGAACTCTGCCGCAAGCAGCCGGTGCCAGCCCCGCTGCTGGGTGCTTCCCTCGATATACGGGCGCCTCCAGCGCCGGTGGGCTCCCCTGCCGTTCCGCCTCCGAGAGGTGTCGGCATCACCCCAACATCCTGGTGCTATGTGTGCGTCGCCCCCCCGGGGGCGAAGGCGCACCGAGAAATCTTACAGTATGTATGCGTCGTGACGGGCGCTCTCTGGCCACTCCGCTGGGGAAGCGATCTACTACAAGATGGGTATGCTATACGTGTTCGGGTCGGACGCCCGCCTCCAGGGAGGACACCTCGTGCTAGGATGCCCTTGTGCGTCCCAAGGTGCTACGGACGGACCCGCACGAGTACGCCAACTACCTGGTGCAGCTGCACAACCTGCAGCCCGGGGCGAGCTACGGCGCGGCCCAGGGCGCGGGCCAGGGCGCGTGACTTCTGCCGGCCAGGATGCGCCAGGGGTGCGGATTCTCACCCAGATCTCTTCTGTAGCAAGTCATGGGAGCCTGGTGTATCCTTTCAGGTCCGTCTTTAGCATCGGTGAGCGTCGATTAGCGTCTGGAGTCGATGAGATAGCGCCGACGCAGCGTCGACTTAGCGTCGATGAGCGTCGATTTGGCATCGGCTTGCATCGATTCGCAAGATCCGACAACGACGGTATCTAAGGCTCCCATGAGTTGCCACCGAAGACCTCTCCAGACCTCCAGGCCTCCCAGATGGGGCCCGAGCAGATGGGGTCGGAGGATCGCGCCGCACCGCCGCTGCATCGGCCATGTGGAGCCCGATTTCCTCCACGCCAGCGGCGCCGCTGCATCGCCGACGTCGCCGATGCCTCGCCGATGCGTCGGCGATGCGTCGGCGATGTGGCGCGAGCCTCTGGCCTCAGCTGCTCCGACCCCATCTGGGGGGCCTCCAAGTACAGTGGAGGCCCATGCCACGAAACATCGTGCTTGCCTCCAGGGTGCCCTGGGTTTCTTGGGTTTCCATGGTTTTTGCGGTGGAAGGCGTGACATTCCCACACCAAAAATCAATGGACTTCCTGGGTTCTCAGTCTTGGGTTTCTTGTGGAAGGTTTCTTGAGGTCGGGCCTCCACTGTACGGGGAGGAGAAGGCGGATATGCCGCGGTCTGCTCAAAGGCAGGCGCGCTGGCGCGGGCCCGAGGCCCACCGTCCGCACTGCCGCTGGCTGGCCTGACCTTGACCCTTTGGCGCCCGGGAAAACACAGACGCCAGCAGGGCAAACGTGGAAAGCGCCCTTCGAAGAACAAAACATGCCATGAACACAAACTTTTGGGCGCTCCGCGCGGATTTCTTGCATCCGCGCTTGGACCCCCGGGCGGCGCCTCGGGCGCCGCCCCTGGCGCGCCCCGCGCGCCAGAGAGGGGGGTCCAGCGCAGATCCCAGAATTCCGCGCGGAGCGCCAACAGTTTATGTTTATGCCGTTTGTTTTGCTTTTCTATGTTTAAGTTTATGTTTATGTTTATGCCGTTTATGTTTATGCTGTTTATGTTTATGTTTATGTTTATGCCGTTTGTTTATGCCAACAGTTTATGTTTATGCCGTTTGTTTTGCTTTTCTAGTCCTGGCTCGGCGGAGCAACAGGCACCGACACCGCTACCCTTCCCTCGTTCTCGCCTTTTTTGGGCCTCCTGGCAGGCCCTCGTCGCCACCGCTGGATTCGATTCGAAGTGCTGGTCAGAACGCACCCCAGGAGTGGTCTGGGGAGCAGCGCTCGGGAGCCTTGAGACGGGGTCAAAGCAAACGGGGGTCAGCCAAAGCGCCCGATCTTGCAGGATCATGCTGGGCCAGGGTCGCATTGACCCGGGTTTGGGGTGCAGGGTCTTACAGAATCGCGCAGGGGTCTGCAAGGCCTGACTGACCCAGGTCTGGAGTAACCCGGGTCAGAAGATCCCCGAAGCGCTATCGGTACTTTTCTGTTTTCCCCACTAGCGACGCGGCAGGGGCGAGGACCACGAGGTCGGGGGAGGGCCTGCCGAGACGTCGGTAGCCCACCCCCCCAGCGGCCGTTGTGATCCGAGCGAACCGATTCGAGATCGATCCCGGCTGGCGCGATCCGATTCGATCCAGATGTTTTGGGGTTAGATCGTGCATGTCCCTCTACGGGAGGGAGGAACATTCAAAAATAGCAAAAAGAATTCTCAGGGGACGATTGTCATACTCTTTTGATCATTTGGGGATCTGTTTTGATTATTTTTTATGTTTCGACCAAAATCCGCTTGTAGGGGACATGTCCGACCTATTTCTGGGGATCCGATGCAGCCCGATGCTTGCTGTTGTGCATCCTGCTGCGGCCGATCCAATTCGATTCCGACTCCGTGCCGATGCGGCCCGATTCGATTCACCTTCCGACCCAGTCCGGTTCCGCGATTCGCAGCCCGTCTCTAATACCCCTCCCTTCCTGCTCCCGTCACCCTTCTTCCTCCTCTTCAGGAGGGGCGCTGGTGCCTCAGCAGCTAGCCCTTCTCCAAGCTGGGGACTTGAGCGTTTGAGCGGCGTCAGTGCGATCCCCCCCTGGAATCGGAAGGCGAGGGGGAACAACAGGCAGACGAATACGAGGATGAGGAGGCGCAGGTTGATGGTGATGATGGTGATGATGATGATGATGACGACGATGCTGATGCGGATGCTGATGCTGATGCTGATGCTGATGATTTGGCAATGATGATGATG